ACGATGAAATGAAAAAATGGAAGCTAACGTTTAGTATACTTGGATATTCAAATTAAGGAAAGAGCATTTTGTTCAGTGGAAATGATCCCTACAAGAGATTTCTTTTTAAATTTCCCTTCTCTATCATTTTTTGCTTCATTATTGATCTTTGCCAAATATTTACATTTCAACAAACTCACCAATTATCATCCGTCTCTCTGGCGATATGCCTGCGATTCACAAACTCATTCGTCTCATAATTTTGTTCATTTTATTGAGGGAATGAAAAATTGGCAGGTATTTCGGAAAATGTTCGATATTCCTGATCGGAGAGAGACATTTTCGTTGCATCAATTTTCGATATTCTTAAAATTGTCAAGCGTATGAATTAGTAACATTTTGCTGCCTTTAAATGGATTCTTCCATAAACAAATTGTAACTGACAGAAAGATGTAGTATCATTGAGTGCCTAAAATAACTCTTGATTAGTGTTCATTTCTATATTAATTCAAAATATGCGCTCCCCAAGAGATAATTCTATTTGAGTGAAAACATGTTCTCGTGGGGCAGAACAACATAAAAGAATAACGATGCAAATAATACCAATTTTCATCCGAGATTAAAACAGAGGCAATTTAACCAGCCAGATTATTATCTTTGAACAAACATCGAATTTTATGCTCAGTATTTGTGATGTACAAAATGTTTTCATGCATGAATAAAGATCTGAGAAATGTTTATCTGAATGCAATTATTTGTTTTAAATACAAACTAAGAGACTTCACAAAATACAAATTTCCTACTCTTTTGAAGTGAAATACTTTCGATTTCCTGAAGTTTACAACGTGTAAACGCATCAGATACAAATACTGAAGTACACAATAAGAGAAAAAAGACCTTCCAACCACCATATTGACCAAAACAAAAAATGAGTAATACCCTCAAAAAAAGGACCAAAATTTTTAACTAGAACTAAAAAAAATATAGTCAATGTTTGAAACAAAAATCACTGCTTGAACAATAAGTTCCAAAAACAATGGATTCCAAGTGGTTATCCCAAATAATATAAATAATTAATGTAAGGAACTCAAGGAAAATTCTATTTTAGAGGAATAAATAAACAAGCTGAACTTCCAAAAAATGATTAAACCTATTTCTAATATGGTGATCTGATTATTAAATGCGGAATGTCTATTAGTGAAACTTTCACATCGCATATAAGATGTTAAAATCTGCTGTCTCGAAACAACTGATGTCAAACCTCTTTGTTAATCCGCTGATAAATAAGGTTTTTTTTATGCTTATAAAAAAGCCTTATTCACCAGCGGATTAACTACTTCTGGCCAGCATTATGAGGATATTACAGAACGAGTGAAAAACCCATAATATCAACATTTACAAAAAATTCATAGCATCTTTACCACAAATTGATATATTTCTACACCCCAGAATCTACATATTTAAGAAATATAGCTTGAAAAATGAAATATTTCTCAATTAAGAAATGTTTTTGAGGAACTTTAGAATGTAACCCTTTCCAACAATTATTGAACGGCTTCGCAACCATATTGTAAGCCTATAATAAAACATCTTTTTATTCAATATTTGCAACATTTTGAAAAAATGAACAACATTATAATGAAAAAACCGGGTGCTTTGAAACAGAAAAATATGGTTCAGATTTACAAATGCTGTATATTGCTGACAGTTGATTGGCACAAAGTCTAAGGTATTAATCTGAGTTACTTCCTCATAACATTCATGGTAAAAAGTCAGAAATTTCTGCTCATGAGTTAAACAACAAAAAAGAAAGGATCTTTTCCATTATTTGAAAGTGTTATTAGTTTTCTAGAGTGTAAAGAAATGAACTTATTACTTCTAATCATTCTCACATTTGCGCAAACCGCCACTAATCACGATCATCAGTCGCATAGAGAATAAGCAATTTGCACAAACGATAAGAAAACTAAAAAAAAAACCTTGCAATGAAGAGAAGATCGAAGTGCTCACTTCCGAACAGTTTCTTGGTAGCAGCACCTAATCTTTCACTGATATTGCATAAATTCGGATCATTGTGAGTTAGCAGTTGAATGTCCTTCTGCTTAGCATATTCGCGTAATTCAGGAGGAACCTGTTATGAATGAGCTACAATTTATCACAGCTCTAAAAAGCATTCTATTAAACTTAAACTTAGTTTTGATCAGTTCCAAATTAAAACTGCATTAAAATACAAAAAAACAAACCGTACAACAGTGTTCAGTGTTGTAATGGTCAATCATTGGACGATAATCACTCGCGGATTCATAGAGTGCTTTTAACTGTTCATAGTCAAGATCTGCTACACCCAATGTATTTATTTTATTAATTCTCACCAATGATTCCAACTGTCTCCAAAACGGCAGGATTTGCGACAGCCACTGCTGCACTTGAGACGGAACAGATGGATCTATATCCTATTAAATCCCTTTATTTCTCTATTTCAAGCATTTAAAAATATTGAGCAAGCTAGCAATATCTGCAATAATATTTTCCCGTCCTCTAATATTTGTGAATTACATGGTTGTGCCATTTTAGTGATGTCTCCTGTAGTGAGAAAAGTGCAAAAAAAAACCTTCAATTTTCTTTTATTTTGGAATCAAAGCGTGACCATAAACGAAGCCCAAGAATAAGATTAAAATTTAAAAATTTGCCCAATACCATACTTGAAAATGGAAAGATTACCAATTTATCATCCGGAGGAAAAGCAATGATAAGCTGAGAAATAGATTTGGTATTTGTTTCATGCAAAGCTGTATCGACACTTTCTTCCACTTGCTTCACGTCTAATGAAGACATAAATACCTGCAATTCCATTGCTCTCTTTATTTTAAAAATTGAATGCTACTCTTATGCCCTACAATATATTTAAACGTTCATCCAGGGAACTCCCCATTCTTCCGTCTTAAAGCAGTGAAGATAAAAAACGAACCTTCAAAGTTATCTTTATATCGGCTTTTTCTATAGTATTTAGACGGCAGTTTTCTGAATCACGAGCAAGCATTATCGTACCATCCGATCTCAAACATTCTTCTCTTTTTGACAATGAACAACAGTATTTTACTTTTACTAGAGTTTCTGTTCGTTTGAAGTTTAAAACCACTGCTTCTGAGATAAATGTAACTATTCTATGAACGTTTAACTTCTAAATTTTTGAACTTCCATAAATTATAACATAACGACCTCATTTCCAAATTCGGTCCATTTGGTCCATCGAGCTGATGCTCGAGTGCAGCCACAAGTTCTTCCGCTGAATTTCTGAACATCTGTCGAAATAATTCCGGATGCCGCTGAATATTACCAGTATTGAGACGTACTGCTGGAGATTTCTGGACCTGCGATATGATCTCTACCGATGACAGATTAATATTCGCAGACATTCCTGATAGTTATATTATTTAAAACAAATGAAAACTGTCAATTCTACGACAACAAACACCGTACAACAATAACGACTATAAAAGTTCCTGAAGTAAATAATATACCTATTAGAATGGATAATCTTCCCATTATTTCATCCTTACTTCTAAACTCACCAAATCTCATAAATCATTTGAAAATTTGTGGGGCAATAATTCCCCTAAACCTAGCAGTTTCTGTTATTTCAGCGTCAGCTGAACAATTGCATGAACAGTGCTGAAAGTGAAATTTCTATCCAGCGCATTTCTCTTTGCTGTAATTCCGGCACCGGGTACTAAAATTCAGAAAAAAGGATAGATCGTCGTGTGTAAAGAGTTATGCGTAACTCTGGAACATTGCACAAGTTCATGCCCGCAAAAATTTTCATATCATAGGAAAAAGGGAAATAAATCGGAAGGGATACTTTTAGAAATTTGCCTACTTTACGAAGGACGAATATATATCGCAAAAAAGGAGGTTAACATCCACAGAAGACAACTCATTGAGCAAAAAGCACGTTCCATTTTCACAAATTCACATAATTCTTGACTGGTAAATATTTGGTATATCCGAAAAGACTAAAAATGAAAGATCACACGCGAAACGAAGTGCAACGACAGGCCGTGACGATGAATTGAACAGAGTTGACACCGATCATCGATGATTTTACGTTAGAAATATTGCGCAACAAAATGAAAATAGAACAGAATGGAAGCGAAGAGTGATTGGGAAATAGAACAGAGAGAATAGACGACAGGAAGCATCGACCGACAACTGATTGGTTAATTGGATGGGTACTTTGCATTTGCACTCGATGATGTCATGCGTTCCGAATAGGTCAGCTTGAGGAATTAGCCTTCTGAATACTGTGGGTCACGCTTCTCTTGTGCTGTGTGAATTATCTCACGTAGCGGTAAGTTCTGACCAGTAGATTTCAGAGTTGCGTGATTCCATATGATTTTTAGATGAGCATTTGTGTTTTGTAACAGTAAAAGAAACAAGTAATGGCATACTTTCGAATTCGACGATTTAGTCCTAAAACAATTGAAAAACTTGAAATCGGATCTGTTTATTATTTTTTAGCAATATTGTTTGGAGTAAATAATTCAAATGAAAACTTTATCGAAATCATTTGCTACTTCAAAAGATTTAAATCTGAACTGACTGTATGTTTTATTGAATCATGCAAGATACAATTATAAACTCGGCACTAATATTTACAAACAATTCAGTGAAGTTTGAAAGGTACTTGAAGGGATCAAATTGAAAGTTAGTCATTTAATTTCGGGACCGATGTACACTTTTCCCGGTAACATTTTCAATTTTATGGAGCAGTCTTGCTCGAAATCCAATGTTTCAGTTTCATTTCTGCTGTGGAGCCATTGTAGACACCGATTGAAACACTGTAATTATTCCATTTGTTCGAATAAACTCATCAATATTAATTAATTTACGTAATCATAAACAAACGCATTCAATCCTAGCACTGCTTTTTAGTTTAATAACCATGCTAACAACATTATTTTGACGGTTAATTTTTGAGATGTTTATAATTTTATAAATCACGATTGAAGTTATAATTTCCGGAAAAGTTACTTTGTATTTGAAACAATATAAATGAACAATTAGTTTTTCTCTTGCATTGTTGCAAATTTCGTTATTTTGAGGTTATCACTCCACTTCAACAACAATTATTTTGACAGCAGATCAAAGTAAAATTGATTCAACCTTAGAATTTTGTCTGGTTTTCAGAGGTCAGGATTTATGTTCTATTACAGTTTTGTACAAGATAAGGACATTTTCCTTGTAGTTATGTTTATTTCTTTTTTGGCTTCAAAAGATTCATTGAAATAGCTTTGGTTGGAAATCGAAAATTTAAAGATTACTTTATAGAGCGGATTTATTCTTCTGCATTCTTTGATTCTTTTCAATTTTTTATCATTCCTGAGAGCAGGTATCTGCATTACCGTAATACATTCTGTAAGACAGTGTTCCTTCTCGTCATTGTCATCATCAGCAAATACATCGCAACACACTGTATCTGAAATACAGATAATAGTTTTGATCTGAAGATGCATATATTTTAGATACCCCATTTTTTGACTTGTGTATTAAATTTTAATTCATATTTAGTTCTATAGTTCATTTACTTCTTTTTTACTACGATACATCGATGAAGTCAGAGTTCATCAAATCAAAACTTAAATGATATCAGCTAATATATTAAAAAATGAGGTATATGGATATTTGAGGAGTTGTAAATAGTTGAGATAGACAGGAAACTGACCTGTGAGATTAAGCATTGGTTGGTGCTCTCCATGCAATGCCTTCTGGATGCACAAGGTCACGTCAATTCTTGTCCCTAATTTCATGCCGTCACAACGGAGTGGTTTTGAAAAATCGACTGATTCTGTGCAGCATTCAGCGTATTCCTCAGAACAACATCGTGCCACTACTGAGAGAGAGAGAGAGAGAAGAATAAGTAAGTTTTATGTGCTTATCAAAAATTTAAATTAATATTTTACTGAGAAATCATCAAGGAATGCAATGTCCTTTGAATGTAATGGTTCACATCAGCTAAGTTCTTTTCTGAAGAACTTCAATTAGTAAAGGGATTGCGGAGATTTATTGCTGAATCTTTTTCTGAGATGGAATAGAAGCCAGCACTAAACTCAGTAAATTCTAAAATATTGAAGGGAACTATGAGTATTCCAGAATATCATTGATATAGTTTCTGAAAATTTTTTATATATAGAATATTGAAAAGCTTACCTTCATTGGTAATTGGAAAAGAAGCGCATGTATCGTATTGAATCCCGAATAATAAAATCATTAAAGTATTGATAGATACTAGAATCAGAAAAGCTCCCATTTCAATTAAATAGAATTATTAAGTATTTTGTGAGTGTTTCGAAGTTCTTCCTCTAAAAGTTATCATTCTCTGGTCAATTGTTGTTAATCGCAAAGTTAAGAAAATTATTTCTGTGGGTGCTAAAATTCAACCGTTTGCCGTATATTAGTCAGAGGGGTTGGCGTAAATTTGAAATACATCCATGAAGAAGTCTCTTAAAAACGTATCCATAATCCCATGATCTCAAACATACATAACTGATTAGGCATCAGACGTATCGACTGCTAGTTCAAGACGTAGTTTGCTTTCCAAGTTACTCATAATATACTTAAGATCATCATTGTCTAATGTGATTTTAAAACGGCTTACAATCTAGTTCCAAAAACGAGTGAATCGTACTTTAAATCTAAATTGCTTATTAATCGCACAGTTATGATCGTAATCAGGTCATCGATTTTGTCTTTACTCTATTTTCAATGAAGTAGACATACGAAAATGATGATTGCTTGCTGTACTAAATTTACAAACTGAGGGGACAGTGGAAATGGTGACTTGAGTTTATCACTCTCAATTACTAATTATTTTATCTGACCTCACACTCTCGGTACTTTCATATCATTCTCGACCTTATTCCATTTCCTTTCTTTTCTGTCACGCAATAATCTCTAGTATTCGCTTGCGGAAGTGTTTTGCCAACCAAAGAATCCTTAATGTCTACAAAGTGAGCCTCAAAAATAACATCCACCAATTCAAATCCTTGATAATATTTATAAACATTCGTTTCAATTTGTCGTCGTCTTGCGAACTAATTGCGATGCAGCCAAATTATGGAATCGTTTTGTTATTTGATGATCCGTTTATATGATAACCTTTGACCTCTTCTGCATGTGTCGAGATATTATCGTGGAAAGATGTGCAGGACCTGTGGTACGACACCACATGTCAGGACAACTATCGATAAAGATAAGTGGGAGGAAGAAGAGGAGGAATAGGAAGATGTCCAAGACCACACACGTTGCTTCTGCGTAATGGCACAACCAAATTAACAATTAATCACCTCCTGCCACATCGATCAATCCTTGTAACTTTTCATTGCAGCACTACAACTTTAGCTTATATTGCATGGATGTGCTATGAACTCTGAACCCTCGATGATGACCCTCACCCTCAGTTTTGCCTTCTCTTCCGCTTGAAGTTTAGCTATCTTCTCATAATGGCAACTTCAGGATCAGAAAAAAATTTCATATTTCTTCGCTTTGCTTCATAATAAATATATGAGAATTTCAATTCGATCCAAATGATAGCATAATTGAAGATGAGAATTTCTGTCTTTTTCACACAGATAAGAAAGTTTTATACTTTTTGTAGAAATTAATGTCAAGCTTGAACTTTATTTTAAAAGTCAAAATTTTTGAAAAGCAAAATAATTAGTGCCTGCTATTATAGTTGATCTACTGTTTGTCGTCAGAATCGACTAATAATGTGAAAAATGATTTGGTCTAAAGTAATTAAATCTCATTTTAGAAACTTTAATACGCAGTAATGTATGCCATGGGATAGGTTTATTTGTAAGTGTGTCAATTTTTGGGAAGAAAACATATCTTTGTCACATTTAATTGATAGTAATTAACAGCTACTAGTAAGGTTGATTTGCTGTAGACGGAATGTATGAATATGTGACAGTTGGATATGTGTATTTGTCACATGCAAAGTCCAGTCTGGAATGATTCTTCTATCTCATTCTTTCAATTAGCTCAATCTTGAGTTTTTCACCCTAAAAACTGAAGGAAATTTTTTGTTTCTGTTAAATCTTTTCCATTTTTCAACAGAGAATTTTAAGACAACAAAAATTTCATATCTTGTCATTATTTAGCTACATTATCTTGACTTACGACAACAGGGCAGTGATAACGTCAATCACGTTATCACGACTCATAATAATATAATTTGTGATGGTATTAAATATGTTAGCGTGTGTTACTAAGCTTATCATAAATCGCCGACTACCGCTCGATGAGTAAGTGATCGCGTGAGAAGAGATTTAATGTTTTCATCATCGGAGATTTAGCAGATTGGTAATTGTTGGTTCGGGAGTAGGAATGGTACGAGTAATTGTAGGAGGTGGTTCGAGAACGTGGCTAATTTGATGCATTGATTTGAACTGTTAATTTCAAAAAATTTTACCCCTTCTTCAATTACAACTATGAATTTATGTCGTGGTTGCGTGAGTCATTCAGAGTGAAAATGTGTGTAAACAGTGAAAAGTTTGCATTTCAGGAATTGGCATTGTCATGCCTGAGTTAGAAAAAGATGATGAACCGTTGCGAGCTACCTATATCCCATCCAGACCGCCCTGGATCGGTTGCTGGAATAAACGTTGGGAACAGCGTGACCAGTTTGTTTACCATTGATGTTTTCGATCTACTAGTTTTGGATTTTCAAATCCTGAGAACAGAGTATTTGTAATCATATAAAGCTTTTTTTCTAATTTTTCTTTTTAACACTTTTTTTATTCAGAAGCAAGTCACGTAAGGTATGGTGGACTGAATTAGGATGGACAGATAAAGCAACGGAAAACGGCAAAATGAGTATCGCTAGACCACAGCTAAGGGAGCAGGATCCGGAATAGTTAGTTTTAAAATGTGTTTGAAAGTTTTGTAAGAAATTTTATAAGAAAATTATTATTTATGATATGGATTCAAGCACAAAATGATTTCATTCATCCTTGCAATTGCTATCACGAGAATGTTTTCAGCTATGACCCTAAAGTACCCGATGGAACTTCTCTCGCAGGTCCGTTAGGTCTGGATTCAACACGATATCCCAATTTAACAGTGAAAGGTGATCAGCCAGGGAATTACGAAGAATTTATGAATAAGGTAAGGTTTTGAACGCTTTCAAAAATGATTATCGTGCGAAATATTTTGGAATGGCGCGAGTTAGATTGCTGATGAAAGTTAGGAAAAAAAGGAAATTTTTCCAGTGTCATAGTTCGTACTGATGAAATTACAGATACGAAAGACGTAATAAGAATATATGAAATTATGAAGAGGATAGCTGCATCTGAAAATTCTTGCATCACTAGTGCAGCACTCAGTATGAGTATTAAATAATTAAATGATCAGCTGTAATCTTCATTGAGTTTTTATTATTGGAACTGTTACATAACGTAATCAAATAATTTTTTAGATGTTTAGAATCATAGATTGTTTTGCTACATCACTATTTTTATTTCATTCCTTGTCATTTTAGCTCTACAAAAATTCCACACAGTACAAAGATATCGCAGCAAAATATGAGTTAACTGAAGGACCATGGCCTCATCACAAGGGTTTGAAAGTAATGCGGGCTAACAACAATTACCATGAATTTCTGGCAAGTGTTAACTAAAAATGTTAAATTTTGATGTGTTAATTTTTTATATTACAAATATATGGACAAGATTTTTTTCCTATATTACAAATAATGTAATTATTTCTATTGTCTACACATAAAGAATTGTGCGTGCATAAGTCAGTGGAGAATCAAAATAATGGAGGACATACAGTTCAAGATACTTTTTTAAGAGATCATAGTGGTGTTTTGCATTTTTCAAAATTAATTTCTTATTTAGGCTAGGCATAAAACAGCGTGGTGGATGCCAAAGCGATTTCGATTCTTCAATTCCGCACTTAACGAAGATCCCATCATAAAGGGATTGGCCTGTGCACAGTATATGGCTATCCTTTGTAAGAATCATTTTTGAGTACTTTGCAAACATTTTGTTGTGGTTTAGAAATTGGTTATTCCTGATAAAAATAAGGGCATAATTGAATAAGTAAATAAGTAGCGAGCAATGCATGACAAATGACTAGCTAGCTATGAACTGGAATGCAGCTATGGTACAAAAAAAAGTACAGTTTGAGAATGAAATTGAATAGATTTGCCTTTTCAGTGGTCCCCTACACTGGTTTGCATATTCGAGGTCACAATATACTTCCAGTGCCAGTCACTCCAATGTCACTAATGAAGACATATTTTAAACTCTTGCCCACACCAGGTTTTTTTTCGGAGATCTTCTTTAATTCTAAGAGTTTTTTATGAACAATGTTAAAGTTTTGTTCACTTTTGCAAATATATTTTCGGATCAAATTTATCCGTTATTGTTCTTTGTGGAGTGGCTTAAAAGCAGGAAAATAATTCTGATTCAAATGGTGATCACATTTTGAGCGTAGTGTCGTTACCTGGAACTGTGCTATCTTGAATGATTAGATGATTAGATCTTGTTTAATATATTTGAACTCTCAGGATTCTACTTCATTGAATAGTATCCTTCCGTTTTTATAAGCTAATAATCTTTAATTTTTAATGAACGGTTGCACTTCAGCTACACTGGCCTTCACATGGGGTGTGACACTAAGTGGTGCAGCGATGGTTAGGCACAAAGACGATTTCACGAATCATCTTTATGCATCTACCGCAACAGGGATCGTTTTTGCAACAATGAGTGAGTAATTGAAATTCAAGTTTTGACTGTTTACATTTTTAAGAAAAAGAAGATTTCATGGTGTTTCTCTGACTTCTTATGAGAATAATTTTTTCTTTAAAAAAAAGGTTTCATTTTTTTTATGCCAAATAAATTACTTTTAAAGAAAGGAATTCAGGAGCAAAAACACATTGTTTTTACAAATCTGAAATTCTTTATTATTTAATAAATATTAAATCGGGGCTTTTAGTAGGATCTAATAATGCACTTATTTTGAAATCTCATTTTTACTCGAATCTGACTGTATCGCATACAACTGCTTTCCACTTGATTTGTTTTGTTTTAGGAGATAATTTTCTTGCTGGCTTTTCATTGGGCCTCATTGTATACATTACTGGGATATGCTGGCAGTACATGAGAGTGTCAGAGTGGAGTTTGCAGAACAAAGTTATACATCGCAAGTCTGGAAGCTTCTATGGTGGACCACTAGTATGGAAACTGAAGTGGAGAGGTGGTGAAGAGGAAATACCGACCAAAAAATGGTGAATGCTGATGAATCATTTAGAAAAAACCTGTTGACTTAGCATTATCATTGTTTTCGTTAGGGAATTAATGTAAGCGTATTTATAGATATGTATAGTATATGCTGTTGTATGTATGAAATGAATTTTTTTTATTAAGCAAAAATAGTTTTATGCAAAATAAAAGTGTAATATGATTGATTTTTTAGCCACAAGTAACTTCTGTCCCTAATAAATTCATCATTCAGGATTTAAATTTTTCGTGAAAATTTGATCTGTGACATAATACTAAATCAGATATTACAGATCGTTTTATCTAAAGTTTAAGTGCATATGAATATTAAGATGGTTTCGAGATGGTTCAGAAAATTAATTACTTCCCAATTTGTTTGTGTAATAACATGTAATGATAATGTTGTGTTCTTTACATTGCGTGACTAGTTATCCCTGTTCATTAGAAGATATCCAAATTATCACCTGTTTTCTACCTTTTTTCACGACGCACTCACAGATCGCTGGAATTCTTAAATTCTAACCATATACAACCGAATAGCAAACATTGGACCAAATATATTTAGTTGCATTTCCCTAACAATTGGTTAAGGTGTTGAAGATACTGAATAACAATTGCAGCACGAAGTTTATGAGAATGTTTGCTCCCATTGATAATCATTGAGGGAAGAATTGTGATATAGCAAACGCCAAGAAAAACATGGAAATCGTGTTGTAAACCTGCAGAATGAGAGTTACACATGTGCTGGTCTTTTTTTTTTGGTAGCAAAAGAAATAGTTCCAATTATCTTATGCTTTCTTCGATTGTAAATATTTTATAGAAAAAACATTCAGATTGCAAATATTTTATAGAAAGATAGGAGAAAGAATGACTTGGATGTTAAAAGATGAGGTATCATAAGATATTTTAATAAAAGCTATCCGACGGGGAATATAATGAAGCAAGAAAAGGTTGCCTATAGCGACGATGTTGACGACCATAAAGAAAAAGAAGCATAAGCAATAGAGATGTTAACTGATGCATATTTGAATATTGCTGTCATCATGGATTTACTCTCAGAAAGTGGTCAAATTATTTTTTGGAATGGATTAAGCATGGTATTACTGTTTTTCAAATTTTGTTGTACATCAGCAACATTAACTGCAGTGGACTGTATGCACCGTTATAATATATCAGGTAGTTGAAAGATTATAACTCGTGTTTTGTGGATTCTTTAACAGCAAAGCTGTTCGTTCAGTTTAAGATTTGGTCGTTTTAGTCATTTCGTATATTGAAGAATAAAAGTCAATCCGTATTTGATAGTCTCTCTCATCTTTTGCGCGTTCTCTCCATTAATCATCTTATCTGTCTAGTGCAAAACTTTCTAAAAAACTTTTGCTGGTTTTGCGCACCACAATTGTTAAAGAAAATAGAGTTTGGTGCTTTGTAGACAAATACATTTACAGAGAATGTCCATGACTTCACAAGATACTTTGAGGAAATTAAGTTCATTATATTTTGCATTAATTCGATTAATCCAAAATATCATGAATATATAAAAATTTGGTTTAAGATTTATCATCGGATGATTTTTCGTATAAATTGGAAGATTGCATTTATTATTTATTGGCTAGTCGTGCAAGAGCAAGATATGGAGATAGCCGCTTGTTAGTTATATCCATTTTTTTTTAGTATTAGTTTATATTTGATGAGATAAGAAAGAGGGAATAATCAGATAAATGCAAGGACCGAAGAAAAAATGGAAAGGCAATATAATATGAAGTAATCATGTTTTCTTGAAGTATTCTTGCATAAATTCTATGATATAAGCGAGTATAAGCATAAAATTCATGTATGGAGTAAAGCCTAACTTCACATTGATTCAAATTTCTGTATATCTCATTTTACAGATTGTACATGAAAGAACCCACGCAAAAAGATGACATATTTACGATTATAATCAGTCATGTAGCTGTAAGACGTGTCGAATTGGTTTGCATAATTTTGGTTTATTGGTTCTTTTGGAAAATGCTTTTCTATTTTTTCTCTTCTCATTTTGATTTATTTTTCATTTTAGGCTCAAAAGCTCTCATCCCAATTTACTATTTATGGTGATTTGTACGTGGTTAGTTTTCCCACCTTTTTAATGTTCGAGAAATTTAAAAAATTTTTCAAAAATTCATAAAATTAATTTAATACGTTTAGTCTGCAACATTATTTAGCACACTTACTTTTCGAATTTTTCAAAATTTCTTATATTCACCAGGAGATTCTTTTTAATGTAGGCTATAAAATTGATGATTCGATAAAATTTAGTCATGGGAAGACGAACGTTTGGAATGGGATGAAAAAGAATGGCAGTTGGATGAGTATACATTACATGACACTCATCATATATGGAAGCCTAAAATTAACGATGAGTATTATTTAAGGTATTGTTGATATGAAATATAATTTAAATATGTTTTGACTGCATAAAAAAGAGATTGTATTAAATGAAAAATCTTCTTTAGTTATCAATATAGTGATTTAATTATTTAAAATCATAATGATAAAAATTTAAAATTGTTTAATTACCAAAAAGGAAGTAATTCTTGTTTTTTTAAGTTCTTCTGCGAAAGCTGCAAAGATTGATATAGGTTGTAGATGATTGTTATATGGGCCAAGAGAAAATTATATTATCCAGAGACGTATATCTTTCTACTCAACAAATTAAGTTTAATTTTTAAGGCAGTGTAGCACAGTTCAAGGTTGTTACACAACAATACAAGAAATTGATATATTCTCGAGCGGGAAGGTCGTAGCACTCTATTCGTTTCGCTATCCTGCCTTTTGTAATGTTAACTACTACAGGTGGGTATTTTTTACTAGATGAAGTAATCATTTTTTTGAAATAATTTATTAATGCCAAAGAAGTTATTTGTTTTACGATTTATATATATATCAGTTGATTGATTGTTTTTTAAATTACAATGTTAGTATTCTTCACTTGTCCGAACAGATCCGTTTTTAAGTTATTTATTTAGCAGATTAGTAAGTTACCCCGTGCATCCTTTTTTACAGTAATAGCAGAGTATAATTAACTGGCTTTAGATATCCGGAAGAAGAAAATGATTGCTGCTTGTTCTTTTCAATTGATGGTTTTAATTTCAATCGAAGAGTGCATTTCGAAGTGAAAACTGATAGCAAGACAACTGTATCGCAAATTGTTAAAATGGAAAGGATACCGAACGGATTGATAAATCCCACTGATGAGCACTCTGCATGGATGCTAGAGGTTATATTTTAATGATTTTATATAATTTAATGAATGAGATTTCTTATATATAAATTGATAAATAACGTTTTGATTTTGAAAAATTTTATGATACTCCGACTTGAATTTTTTCGATGAAGAACCAATTAAACTGATAATTTTTGGTGTCAACAGTGTACTTTAAGTAGCTTCAAATTTAATATATTCAAGTCGAAAATAGTTATTGCAGCATCGTACTGTAGCAATAGCTAAAATAAGTCATTCAAATTTCGAACTTCTTCACGTTTGTATTCATGCTCGAAAGCAAATGTCAACTCTGCGCATTGCTCTGCGTCTTCCAGTGTCCATTACAACGATGCTTATGCTTGCTTCACCTCTCTTCGGACATCTGACCACTCAGATTTACATCAAACTATTCGCTTTTTTACTGCAAACTATATCTTTCATTTTTCTTTGCTCCATCGCACCAGAAAATGGTTTCGGAAGGACAAAACCGAAAATTTGCAAGTTTTAAATTCCGAATTTCAACTTAATGATCAATAGCATTACCAGGAATAATTATTTTTATTAAATAAAACCAAAATTATACCGCGAGTCAGTCAATCATATTAACCAGTTATAAATTCATAAATCGCATCGCTAAGTTTGAGTTAATATAAGTACTTTTCTTTTCCATTATGTAGCAAAACGATTAATTTGAAAAGAATTTCATGAAGAATAATTTTATTTAAATTGAATGAATTCTCCATACAGTATCTTTAAAGTAGGCCCCTAGGCTGCATCTATTTTTTTCATTTACTAGAATGACTAATTAGTTGTTGTTTATTCCAGACACATTCTTTGAAATGGTTATTGTTTTGACATTAATCAGTACAATGATCAACATGATTGCAATAGCGCTGAGTAGGGTCAAGCGTACTATCCCTCCACGACATAACATTTATCTGGCATCTAAAGTAATCAATCGTCTTGTTTGCTGCATCGGTTAGTTGATTGGAAAACTTCTCGGAGGAAGAAACTTTGATAAATTGTATTTGATAAATATTACTAAGTGAATTATTAAATATTAAAAGCGTTATTAAAAATGATTTTACTAGATTTCGCTATTTTGATTTATTTGCAAAATATTTTTTTAGGAAACAAATTTCTTAAATAGCAATTCACCTAAAAATTGTCTATTTTTGCGAAAAATTTCAAGTGAATATTGGATTTAAAATCAAAATAAAATTTGAAATTTGAAAGAATCACACAGTGTAATTAGGAAAAATTTGAATCTATAGTTTTAACTAGAGTAATATAATTTCAGAACCAGATCCAACCGCGAGCTATTTCCGACATTTGAATGATCATTCCCAAACAAATTTTGAAAATGCTCAATCAGATTATACCATCGAATGGCGGCATATTTATATTGCTTTTAATAATCTTTTCTCAGCACTTGCCTTGATTTTTTTCATTATTATTGCTGTTTTTGAAATTTTGTGATTGCCATCTCTCTTATGAAGGATTTATAGAAGAAATCGCTTCCATTAGATTTATGGCTAAGAAATTTAAGAATGCATAAATGAAGATATACTCTGTCTTAGTATTGTATGAAATTCTTTGTCTTAAAAATGATCTAAATAATGATCAGTATTATTCGACAACCATTGTAGCATCATCTGTTAGTATTGATGCTTTCGTATTTGGGATGCTATCGTACTCTATTTTATTAAAGACGACAAGATAGGAATTTTCAAAAACTGATTTATACTAATAATCAGACCAATTTTTTTTTTTTTGATCTGACTGGTGTTATAAATCAGTTTTTATAGATTTCATTATTTGCTCTAAAAGTTTTAGTATTCGTTTACTCATGAATTATCACTGTTTTATATATAGATATTACACATTCTATTTTTGAATCAATAGATTTCTGTTTTGTTTTATCGATGCATTTCAGTTTCTATGAGTCCTCGATAATTTTAAATTGAAAAAACATAATGCATATAAGGAATAACACAACAGAAGAATTAAAGATTCAGTATTGATTGTTTGTGATCTGGGAATTTGTACGGAGTCGAATAATATTCACGAGATTTTTTCAATATTCGATATGGTACAGCTCAATGTATCACTTCCAATTTGCGAAGTAATAAATTAATTTTAACAGTTCACATTTTGGAACTTTGAAGTCGTACTTAAGGAAACTAAGATGAAAAGAGTATTTGAGAAGTATGAAATGTAATGAAATACATGAAAAGAGAGGAATTCTTCTTTGTTTAAAAATTTTCTATGCGATCAATAAAATAATGAGGTGAAACAGATTTACTCGAGTAACCTTGTCAATGTTAATTTATCGTTTATCAGTAATTCTGATAAAAATAGTCTAAATGAAATTATGTTCATCTTGATCGGAATGTTAGCTTTCAAACTGTTCCACTCTAAGCTATCGATAATTTGGGTATTAAGTCTTCCTTATTTTCTCTGAAATATATTCCATCAGTCATTTATTAGCATTTGAAAAACATCGTGATAAAATGTTCTGGAGAGATTTTATGAGACAACTGATTGACTAAAAAAAGTGCAAATAGCTTTACACTACAAGTGAGCCAATTTTTTTCCTTCAGCTAATTTACCACATTTTAAACAATTCCGTTTTTTTACCGTAGACTTTTCTTAGTTTAGCTGACATAAAGAATTTTAAAATCAAATTTAAATTTTAGACACAATCCTACTTATTATAAAAATGGCATTTTCATTCAAAAATATTATTTATTATTATCACTTTCAGTTGCGCGTGGCTGTACGCAAGATCGTCTATTTTTGGGACGGTATCGTAATTCTAAAATATTTTTTAAAAAGTGAATTATGAAGAGATCGATTTGTTTTAAAGATGTAGTGATAATTGTACAGAAATTACTTTCTGTTGGATAAAAAATTTTTTTTCTCACAGAGTTCATTACACCATTGAATAAAATTTTCGTAAAGTTTATTCTTAACAGTGTTATTGTAATTATATTAAATTATAAAGTGATTTATTGATTATTTCAAATCAACTCTTTTTTATTAAATGTTCTGTCACCTTATCAAGAAGTTCTTTCTTCTTGATAATGTGACTGAACATTTAATAATTTGATTAGTAAATTAAGCCGATAGTTTGAATAATAAATTTAAGCAGATAGTTTGAATAGCAAATTTTGGTTCCATAAATGTTGGACAATAATGATGATTTGAAATAAGTTAAGCATGCTTGTCTTACAATTAAGATTTATCTTTTAGTATAAGCATAATTAAATTTAATGGAAACAGAAATGAATACGCATGTTTGGGTATCTGATGATAAGGATGGGTTTATTTTATGCAAAATTATTGATATCGGTTACGAATGTTTGACGCTACAACGATTGCATGAAACAGAAACGGTACAGATATCGTCTAAAATTGAAAAAAAATTGTGAGCTAAATAAATTAGTCATCTTCAGTTTGAAAACTATCAAATTTTAAAGTAACTATTTCAGTTCAAAGCTTTTTACGATAATATTTTCCCTGCTGGAGAAGAAGTTAGTCGAGATGTTGATGATAACTGTAAGCATTTTATTGTTAAAGCATACATCATCTCATGTGGCATTCATTTGCCGCAAATTTCTCTCTTTCGATGATTGTATATTTTCTTTAATAATTGAAATGAAATGCATAAACTCCTGGAATTTGATATTGAACTTTGGTGATAATCGGATGTAAAATTATTTTCAGGTTCATTAATTCACCTAAACGATGGTTCTCTTCTGAATAACTGTCGTTTACGCTATAATCGCAAACAATTTTACGTAACCTTTATCTGTTATCATCAAATTTCATTGTTAATTTTCAAAATCTTTCTGAACTTCAAAATGTTATTTTTGTGTTTACTAAAATGGTAGAAAATCGAAACATTAGCTCACTTATGAAAATCGAAGCATTAATTCACTTATTTCGGATGAGCTCACTTATGCATATTATCAAAGATGAAGAGAGTTATCTCAAACAAAAATACCACTTTTTAAGAATATGATTTAATATGGGGTGAGGTAAAAGTTTATTAATTATTTCTAACTTTTGTTTTAAGAATGAAGCTAATGTCTTGTAGACTTACATGGCTAATATACTCATCGCAATCAATCCCTATGAGCAAATTGATGGTTTATATGATGTCAATATGGTACGAAAGTATAAAGGACAATCACTGGGAGCCTTAACTCCACACATATTTGCTATTGGTATTTGTCGTTGAGTGATCTTTAATATGCAAATTAAAATACAGAGTTCAAGAGTTCAGTAATAGTTGGACAAATGGAATTTCAAAATGAAATAATCCAAATTGAGAAGGATTTATTTGCGAGGTCTAAATGCGGTTATATGTAAAATGTAATTATTTTAAGCTGATAAAGCTTATCGGGACATGATGCGCAACCATGAATCTCAATCAATCATAATATCGGGAGAATCTGGAGCCGGTAAGACTGAATCTCAAAAGCACATAATCCGGTTCTTGTGTGAATCTTGGGGTCATCTCGTAGGGACAATCGAGCAACGCATTTTAGAAAGTAAGTATTTGAAATAGATCTTGATCGGATAATTTCATGAATGCAATTATTTTTTTGCACAGTAGCCAGCAAAAGGGGCATTTTTCGGTGTCATCAGCAAGGATTTATATTTTAATAGCAAGGTTAGGTGATATAGTTTGCATGACCCATCACTTCAAGTGATGACAAAGCATTAATAACAATTTAATTTTTTACTCGTTACTCGATGATTAAATCGATGCATAATGTCGACGCGCTTTTATGCAGGCAGAAACTTTTATTATGTCATTTATTTCCTTATGTTTTTTACAAGAACGCAACCTTATAAATAAAAAAAAAATACTGATTAACGAAATCTTCAAAATCGTTTAAATTACAATAATTCCAAACGAAATCGATTTAAAATTACAATTATATTCATTTAGATTTTTGAAGCAAAACTTAACATGTTCATAATTATTCAAAATTTAGTAAGTACAATTTTGGAATCGTTTGGCAATGCAAAAACAGCATGCAACAATAATAGCAGTCGATTTGGCAAATTTATTGAAATACATTTCAACGATAAGGTTTGATAGTAGTCTTCTTAGTCCAACAATTCAGCTGGTCTGATGATTCAGAGTTATTCATTGTTTACTGAGAAACAGGAGCCAGAAAACTTCCGTAAAATATAAAAGAATTCAAAAAATATGTAAGATGATTTTTGAATTCAACTAATTCTGGATAAAAATACATATCAGAGTGACGAAGGGGAAGTGTGTCACATTCCAAAAATCTTTAAAATTTTTGAAACATCAATAATAACACACTCAGAATCAGATAATTTCGAAGTTTGAGTCCTGTTATTAAATAGTATCAGAATTAAATAAATTTTCGTTGTATATTTCTGAGTTTCAATTTATACTTCGTCATTTTACTTAAATCGATGATTAAAATTTTTATACGGCATTTAAAATATGTGTTTGTCACATCTCATTTTCTTGGCATTTTTAGGGTATTATTGTGGGCGGTTTCATATCTCACTATTTGCTGGAACGTTCACGTCTCTGCGGACAGAATGCACGCGAAAGAAATTATCATATATTTTATCAACTGATCGCTGGTACTGACGAGCAAACGAGAAGCAAATTGAAATTGGATAAATTGGAAATTTTCAATGTTAGTTATTTTGAACTGTTATTTTTATTCAATTCCAACTTTTTAATAATTGATTCTTTCAAATTTTCAATTCATCGTGTATTTCAGCAAATTTTATCATTTCAGTATCTTAATAAAGGATGCATGCAATTTTTTTTGAGTGAAGAAAATTCGAATAAAGTTATGCCGGGAAGGAATAATTCGGTAATTTTTCCTGTCAAACTCAGTCTCATTTAAACTGACAGTAGCTTTTTAATTTACAATTGGAAAAGAAAATCCATTTTCGAGGCTTTCTGAGGCAGCCTTCTCAATACTCGATTTGGAATAAAGGATGTTTTTCTCCTTTTTTAAAACTGATATTTGAGGACGGTATGCGAGACGAATTAATTGATGATTACAATGATTTCCAAAAACTATTGAATGCATTCAATCGTATTGATGTTTCAATAGATACTCGAGATACCATACTCGAAATAGTCGCCGCAATTTTACATCTTGGAAATATCGAATTTTTTGATGAAACATTCAGTTTCAAAAGTAATTTTTAGTTACAATGTTTATTAAATAACTAATTTCAGTTAATGTATGATTTTATGTTCATTTGTATTTACAGCCAAACGCAGCTAATCTTTAATAAATAAAATTTAATTGTGGTAAAAGATTGCATTCGTATTTATTCCATAATCTGTATATTAAACCCAAAGTTAAAAAAAAAGTAAATTACAATTAAATTATAAGTTAGGTATTAAAAATAGTCAGCACTTCTTTGTCAGAGCTTTCCTAACTTAGATCTTTAATATATTTATATGGAAGCGCAGTACGAAACACAGAATGATTAAAAATCCAAAGTCTTAGGAAGAATGCATTTACTTTGCAATTGATTATAATCATAGTTATGAGAAGAAAAAACGTGAAAAATAAATTTAACTTTAATGAGAAAAATAACACATTGAATGGATGTGATAAAAATTGAAACGAAAGAGCTTTAAATTACAGGTGGTTGTGATGTTAAAGAAGAAAGCAAAACGTATTTGATTAATGCAGCAGAATTACTTGGCATTGAAGTGACTGATTTGAGGACACATCTCGTGAGTCGATTGATGCAGCCGACGAGAGGTGGCACTAAGGGAACACTTTATTCGTTCGTTCTTCAAAATTTATCATTTCCAGCTTAATGCTCCTCTATAATTTTTTTAAAATCAAATCTATTGATAACGAAAGAGAAATTACTACCTCTGATAAGCAATTCTTGTTATTGCTCTTTTTTTTGGCAATATCTAAATTATTTGCTTAAACTATTCCGTCAGATTACAAATAATTTCGTCTATACCAGATGGAGATTAGTTATCTGCTAAGTATCTTAATTAATGAGATTTTTAACAGCTCCCAGCAAATTTAATTTCCAACCTTACTTCTTTTGATAATATTCTGATAATATATATCTTCATGAATATTTCTAATATTCATTTAACTTTATTGAAAATAACCCAATTGCATCTATTTGTCATTTTAATTATTTTGTCATCTGACATGAAAATTCATTTTAACTTTCCATGTACTATGACAAAATCTTATTGGAAGCACAATTTTTCTTGCAATAGAACAAATTAAGAAGTGCAGATCGCAATTCATGCATGCCAGGATTACATGTACTGCATTCTGCATTACAGAGTGCCACTGCGCGCTAGTGAAGCAAGTGCAGCACGTGATGCTCTTGCTAAAGCTATCTATAGTCGTTTGTTTACTGCAATCATTAATAAAATCACGGAATGCATGCCATTCAACGAAAGTACCTTTTCAATTGGAGTGTTGGACACAGCCGGTTTCGGTACCTTTCATCCTTATTTTAGTCTATCGTGCATTACTTCTGGATTGTCCCCGTCCATTTCTTTCTACATTAAGCATATGCTTAAGTGATGAAGTATTCATATTCATCTAAAATTTCCACCAATTTATTAATACATTACAAAAAGAAATGTCTTTTAAATGATAAAAAGGAGACTGAGAAACAATTCTTCCAGAAAAAATCTCTGATTTTTTGAAATATTTCAGAATCATTGGATGTAAATTCTTATGAGCAATTTTGCATAAATTATTGCAATGAAAAATTGCAAAATTTTTTCAATGAACGAATTTTGATAGATGAACAAAATTTGTACTGTAAAGAACAATTGCATTATGATACAATTGAATTCAATGATAACAAAAGTTGCATTGGTTTGGCTTATTCTTACATTTTGTGAAATGACGTTGTTATTGTTTTTGAAGCATACAAAATTGCACATCTTTCATGAATTGATTAGACAGTGAAATATGATTACTACCGTACTGTTAATGTTTTAGTAATGTGCGACAGTATAATACTGTTAAGAGACACATTGCACTAAACATATTCAATTTTCAAATTTCAAAAAGTATTAAAAGATAGGATAGAGTGCACTGATCATTCCTGCATATTGTAGAATTATTTGAGCAGAAGCTTTATGGGATTTTTGAACTACTGGACAATGAATCACGCTTACCACAATCTTCCACGCAACATTTCACGCGGACAGTACATGAGACTCATACTTCTCATCCTTGCTTAATGGTTCGTTTTCATCGTTGAGAATTTCTTCATGCATAATAATTCCGAAATTCGATGCTAATCAAAAAAGTCACGAAATTTGTTAGCTGTTGATATTTCAAAGTAAAAAGAAAACGGACAATTTAGTCGATCAGGACCGGAATATCCATCGTTTATTATCGTGCTAAAACCAAAATCATAGATTGTAAATTGAAGGAAATCACTGATCATGTCATCGATAATTTAATTACTAGCTAAGTTACTGTGGCCTGAATATGTCAATCGTATGTCAAAATCGCATGTCAATTTTTAGTATGTCAATCGAGATAATCTTTCAGGTATGGACTGAAAGATTATCTCGATTGACATACAAAAAAGCACCATTACTTGTTGTATCTGCTTGGAATTAAAATTTTTCACCTTTCGCAATATCGCGCATTTCACCATCCACATGAAACTATAATAAAATACTTAAAATAGTAAAAATTAATCAAAATTAATAGGGAGTGATTAAGTGATGCAATAATAAAAAACCGATAACAACTGATAACAACTGATAACAAGTATAAGGGAATATAATGGAGTGCAGTACTACCAGGCTGCTATACAGGTACCACGATCATCACGTTGTCATCGTACAATGCGTGACGATGAAGGTTTTATCATTTGCCATTATGCGGCCGATATTTGTTACGATACCGCTCAGTTTCTTGATAAAAATAATGATACTTTACATGCATCACTACAGTGCCTTATGGAACAGAGCAGGTTTGTCACTCAGAAATATTTCTCGGAATTATAGCTCTAAGCTTTTTAATTAATCGTTAGCTGCGAAAGATATTTCAAACTATCTCTCGAAAGTATACTTTTAAAAAATTATAAAAATTGTTTTTAAAATATTTTGTTTAAGAAAAAGCTTAGTTTGTGAACTGTTTATTGGTAGCGAATTTTCGAACGTTGAAAGAAGAGATGCACCGTTGGGTGGTAAATTGGTTAATGCATCAGTTGGAAACAAATTTCGTTCACAGCTTGATGTTTTGCTTGCGAAATTGCGTAAAACGGTAAATTCTCGAATGAGGTCTTTTATTAAAAATCTTCCATTAATCTACCAATACTTTATAATAAATTTGAAGTTGTAAAATTTTTAAAACAAGAGAAAAATGATCATGTGGTCATTTTTTGCTTCGGTATTGTTCTCGAGACACCTCACTATCACCAAAGGCATTCTCTGCTAATCATACCTATTCCAGGGAACCCACTTTGTACGATGTATTAAGCCAAATTCGGAAATGAAATGCAATCAGTTTGATGGTGCGCAGATTTTGCTACAGCTAAAATGCGCTGGAATGTCTAGCGCATTGAGAGTTATGCAGCGCGGGTTTCCATCAAGGTCAACTCTCGGTGCTTACCCATATCCATGTTCATTAGATAAAATCTTGACAATATAAAATGCCTTATATTCTTCACTTCAGAATAAATAATATATCAGATTTTAGAATGTCGTTATGATTTTTATATTTTTTATACTATAATTGTATACAGGGTCAAAACGTTCAAAATACAGGTCAACATAATAAAATATTTATTTTACTTTACTTACATGTTGAAATGAAATGTCAAAGGCCATCATCGCCAACATTTATAAATAGTTACGAAAAAGTAAAATATTTATGTATTACAGAATATCTTATCTCTCATTATACAATATATATCAAAAATATTTACCAAGCAGACTTACAACGCTCGATGCTCAATTGTTTTGTAAGGTTAGCTCTAAAGTATAGTTCTAAAGTTAAAATTTATATATTTTTTCAGTTCATTTTTGAAAGGAATTTTCATTTTCGAAATAATTTCAGTGTCTATTTCGAGTGGTTGGTTTGGAAGAGAAAGATTACAAATTTGGTCTCACGAAAGCATTCTTCCGACACGGAAAATTTGCTGAATTCGATAAAGTATAATTAGAATTGATTTTGAAAAATAAAGTAAATTTTGGAATTAAAGTTTTTAACTCTTTTCGCTTTGAAAATTAAATTAGAAAATCCTTTCATTCTAAATGTGAATTTTTAGCATTGTTTCATTATTTCAGATATTACATCTGAGCAAAGAAAATTTTGAAACTTTGATTGAACACATGTCATCCTGGCTATGTTGCTTCCGATTCCGAAGAATACAGTTTGCTGTTATAAGCTTGGTCAAAGGTTATATTAGAAAACTTTTACTGATTATCAGATTATCACCATTTGCCTTATTAGACGGTTATCACTTACTTTGTCTTCATTACATTTTAAAGAAAGTACAACCATTTCAGTAGAACGATTGTTGGCATACCGGGCAAAGTGTCGCATCAAAATTCAGAATGCTGTTCGCACCTATTTAGTGCGTAAATCATATCGATCAAGGTGATATCCAATATAACGATTAAATCTTTTTTTCAATCTCTGCTATAATAATATTTTTTGAGCTTTGTAAATGCTTTAATTCACTTCGAAAAATAGCTCATTCTCAAAATTCAGAGTTCTCAATTTTAAATACTTGTCCAGATGATATTTTCATTTTACATGTTATCTGTACCTTTCAGGATAAATGCTTTATTAGCCTTATCAACGCTGTTAAAAAATATAAATGGAATGTATTCTTTAGTTAATGAGCTAGACAAAACAGATTCATACAAATGGGGATCATCTATTGTTGACGCTCTAAAGGAGGATGTTGAAACGCTCAAATATCAAATAAAAGTAAAATTATTTGAGCGAAAGTTAAATTTAATTTAGATAAACTTCGCTCATTTACAAGCGTAAACTATTGTCACTCCTACCTAATTCAATGGTTCAAAAGAATTATATTCGAGAAAAATCTGATATTTCTAAGCAATAACTTATTGATAAAATACATATCTTTGTTTCAAAGTTTCATAAAGTTGAAATAAAATTCCAGCACAATTCATATTCGACAGATACGGAGATGTTTCATCGATGTGATGCATTAGTAAATAATACGAAAGAAAAATTGCAACACTTGAGGTAAATTTTTAATGTAAATGTATAATATTTCTAAATGAGACAAACTTTTATGCTCCCATTTTTTTTTATCCTTTCAATTCCGTCCAGTAATATTTGATTTTTTAAATTTTCGCTTCATTATCTTCAAATTTTCTTGATAATTTACTATTAACATAAATAATGCCAATAAACTATTAATTTGTAGACAGAAAGTTGATGATACACAGATGCTTCTGCGAAAAAAGCATGAAAAGTTTGAAGAAGAACAAAAAAGTGAACTCAGAAAAGAATTAAAGTAATTATTTTGTAGTACTAAAATTTAATTACTTTGCTAGTATCTTTTTGTCGTAAATATGATGTGAAATATAAAGATCGGGATTCGAGAATCTAATTTTAGAATAAATAAAATATAATAACTTTTCATGCTAATCACTTAGCTTTTTACAGTCAGCAAATTAATGGGCAAAAAGAGGAAGCTAAGCAGATAGCACAATGTTTGGAAGAATCATTGGAACATACCAAAATTATGGAACGAGAAAACCATCAATTATTGTAACCTTAAATTTGCACATTTATTTATAGCATAATAGTATCTTCTTGATTAAACCAACTATATTTTTTTTACATTTAAAAGTTTATTTCCAAGAAATAAGCAATTAATATTTCAGAGGAAAGAGCCATGTAATTGAAGAAGTATGTGATTTATCGAAATGGCATTATATTGATATCAGAAATGGTATCAATTCCAATGGTATGATGTTTTTAATTATTTCATTTCATCTCTAAAAAGGAATAGAAAAAATTTCGTTAACTTAGTCAAATAAGAAAGAAAAAAATGAAAAATGAACTTATGAAATATCAATCAAAACACTACTTAATGCACTTTTTTCAAAAATAACATTTACTAAAATGGTAGTATTTAGCACTATCCGTGAATCATAATTTCATCACAATGTAACTGTTGGAATTGAAATATCGAAGAAATTGGATTTGAATAAATGAAATTATTCGAATACAGCAACTGAATAAACCGAATATTCCCTTAAATAAATTAAAAAATTTCCATGCTAATTTTTATTAAGATTCGAAATTATCGTCAGCATGTAAAAATGAATATTATCGTCGTATGAGAGCTTACAATGAATGGAAAGAGCGCAATATGACCTCTAAAGGACTGACCCATAAGATGCAGAAAAATGTTAATGGAAACAAAGGTTTGAAGCAGTGAATAAAATCATTTCGCCCAAACAATCAAAAAATCATTTCAATATTTGGCGCTGTTTATTTTTCACCCGATCTATTTTAATTTCCATAGAATGAAAATTTTTAATGTCAATAAATTTAAAAAGTATAAAAGAACAAAGACATACTTTTGTTGGTTCAAATTATTTTAATTTTACTGTATTGTTTTATTTTATAACCGCCATTGAAGCATTGTTCACGGTTTAGGAGGTGGAAATGATCATAAGATCATGTCTGATCGATATTTTCGAATTGTTACTTCTTACCTCACAAATCAAGAAAAGAATTTATTCCGTAAAGTTTTCTTTCATCCATAATGCTACAAGACAGAAAAGAATTTGATATTTGAGTAGATATTGATTCATATGCATTTTAACGCATCCGAGAACTAAGATGTTAAATTTTTCATAATTTCTTTAGAAATGAATGTTTAAGTATGTACAATGTGATTTTCGCAAAGTAATTTAGTGCTTCAAAGTAATAATTTCAATAAAATCATCGTTATATCTTTTAAATTTGTCGGAATTCCATCTTTTTCTCAAAAATTAAAATAGAAAATTGCCGAATTTATTCGGCACTTTTTTTCATCATTTCGAGAGAACTATCTGGTACAAATGTCCATCAAGTTTAATATATTATGATATAAGAATTCAGTTCTCGAAAACTTAATTTAAAATAATGAAATTTTAATGTGAGATTAATTTAGATCATTTTCAACAATATTATTTGATGAAACTTAACGTTGTTTCAGAAATTGTTGAAAGAAATCAATTTACGGTTTGGTATGGTCATTTCAAAAATGGATTCATCTATCGGCAAATAGAAATTTCTTCCAACAAATCTCCAATTTTAAATATAGCTGGTAACTGCTTTATTTGTTGCTTTAAATTAATTTCTTAATTTAATTTTTAAAGTTGAGACTTATTTTTAAAATTATTGATTCAATAATCACTCCTTTCTTATCTCCCCAGAAGAAGTAAAATTGATTTATTAAAAAATATTTGCGAATGTTTTGTAGGTCTTTTTTTACTTATTCAAAATCAGAATTATAAAAGTCAATTTAAGAATAAAATTTTAATTTTCATGCAATTAATTTAGGACAAAATGACAAAAATATGTGTAAATTATCGCTGAAAGACATGAATTTAAGCAAACGTAAAAATGTTGAAATCAGCGCTGAACGTTTCAATCGAATATGGGCTGAAAATAGTGGAAGTTTAGATTTATGCACTTCTAAAATTGTATGATTGTATAATATATAATGACTGAATAATTAAGTAAAATTAAAGTTGCGATCATTTGCATTCTATGAATGAAGAAACATTGGACTGTTTTTTTTTTTTTTAAATATCATAATTAAAAATTATTTGAAGAAAAATTTTTGAAAATTTGAAATTTATGAATAGACTAGCATTTAACAGCAGTGAAGACATTAAATTTGTTTTTTTGCATATTTTTTTTAAGACATCTGAAGTAAAGAAAGAAAGAGAGAGAGAGAGACAGCTATTAGAGCAATTTTTTTAGAAATATTAAAGATTAGAAAAAACACTATCAAATTGATATGAACTCAGATCGATCCACCGTATTAAATGCACGAATGATAAGTTATGTGCAGGAATAGTGAAGGAATAAAAATAAGTTGTTATGTTGAATGCCTTCTCCCTACATTTGTTCTACCTTATGCACATATATCATTCAATGATGGAAATTTGCATATTGCATAAACGGATTGTTTGACAGTTTTTCATCCTTCTCTCTCTTTATTATTTCTTTTTGAAGAGAAGATGTAAATGTTTTTACTAATTATTAAAATTTCTTTTAGTCCAGATTTTGTTTCGTTTGTATTTGTTAAAGAGATCATTAATGAGAGGTATTCATTAATGATTGAAAGTTGTCACAGAAAAAAGATTGAAATTTAGTAATTTTGTATTCCTATTAATTTATTTTACATTTTTAGTGTACGTATTTATTGTATTTATCGCTTTCAAAATGCTTTTAAATTATACGGAATTCATGATTTGTAGCATTTTGAAAAAATTTTCAAACGACATTGCAGAAATTATTCGTTGCATCTCTCTTTTTTAATTAAAAGAATTGATTTGAACTATCTATTATGTACTAATAGTGAATATCTCAGGGTCATCCATGATTGTCCACCAATATTCACTATGAAAATTTTCGAGAGTAACGAAATATTTTTGAATTTTCTCAAAATCTTTTTTTATGAAATCATTCGTTTAAAATCTCAAATAACAGCATAACATCGAAAGTTTCAGTAAATTCAGAATGTTAAAACAATTGAGAACAATTTTTGATTTGGAAACAAAAATTGAACTCTTGAACTTTGGGACTGCTATTTCACTTAATTTGATCAAATTCAACTGAATCTACAATAATTACCTGCTCTCGTCTAACTTAAATAAGATTTCCCTTAAAGATGAATTATTTGCTTCTTAGAAATATAAATGACATTAATTATTTCATCAAAAAAAAGATGAAAATTGTAATTTCTTTTCTTTTGATTTCTATTTTCAGAAATCACATTTGACATAATTTTAATTTGATCAGCAAAGTAAATTACAATCATATGATAAAAGTTGGCGTAGCATGAAGTGTTAGTAAATCCTTTCCAAATTTCAAAAAGATTTTACTTTATCAAAGATTTATGGATTTGCTATTTTATGTAGCAAATACATAAATGCAATAATCGATAAGAATTCGCGATCACAGTTAACATTTCAATTTACTGAGAACGTTATTAAATATCACATTAATTTACAGGAGATAAGATGTCAAGAAGAGTCAGATCATACAGTGATAAGGATATTCTTAAATCAGGTATTCTTTCAAGCTGTATTATATTGAGCGAACTGCAAGTAACAAATGAAAAATGAATTTAGACATGATGCTAATATTCAATGCTGCTAAAAATTTAACAGTGTATTTGCCATCAATCTATTGTTTACTTCTATCATCTATTGAAGAATGATTTAAAAGCATGAAAAGTTTTGATGAGAAAACGTTGACCATCGTTTAAATAATCTCAGATAAATATTTAGAAGAAAAAGTTACGCCATTAAGAAAGAAATTACGCGAATCATAGCAAAAGTTATCAAAATTCAAGCGAAAAGTTTACTTTTCCTACTATCAACAGTAGCTTTTATGTGCAATACACTATCATTATAAAGTTTGAAAAATGGGTTGATTAATCATTTGGCAGATCGATGCTTCCCCCAGCTAACTTATTTATAATAAACAGAAGATTGACATTCCCGTGAAAAGGAACAGACAAGATTATTTAGTTTTTCAACATTTGCGAATGACAGAGAGAAGGACATAGCTATGAATCCTTTTTCATGATATTTACATCTTTAAGAAAATTTCCATATTTTCAGATAAAAAAATTTTGAAGTCACTAAGTGAGAAGGATATTAATAGTGGAAAGAGAGTATCAAAATATGTTGGACAAGTTATGGCAACCAAGACAAATAAGACTCCGAAAGCAATTTTATTAGAAATTACCGGAGAGCGGGGGAGTGTTGCTGCTAATACCATCAGCCAATCAGGTGTAAACAAATATCCTGTTTTATCACGAGAATTTTTTGAAAAAGAGAATGTAAATGAACGGGACATTGGTGAATTGACACCAGGTGAGAAGATTATTGAAAAAGAATCTTTGAAAAATATTGAACAAAAGATTACAATAAATGATGGTTAGCAAATATTATGAATGATATTAGCAAAATGTTAATGGAACAAGACAACTTACTGATTAGTGCTAATCAAAAGATGATTTTTTCAGATGGCTCCAAATCTCTTAGCAATAAAAAATTGAGCAAAGCTGAAATTGTTTCTCGCATAGATTCAGAAGCAAAAAACATAGAAACGCTCCTTGGCAAATCAGGTAGGTCAGATTACGGAAACTGTAAGTTTAATTTTGAGATTGAAATCTTGTGAAAAAAAACTCTTAATGAAGAAATAGAAATTAAATGCACGATCAGTTTATACAAAAATGATATGCAATGTTCTTCGGGTTGAATTTCTGAACTTTAATAGCATTTCTTCCAGACTTACTCGTTGGTCCATCACGTCCATTACTCTAACAATGACCCTCAATCAGTCTTTTATACTTCTAACTCAGAAATTCAAAAATGAAAGACTGAGAAAAATTTCTTGCTAATCATTACAATTCAAATATTCATTAGAATTAACACAAAGTTTTTAATTAATTTTGTCTTTTAATCATTGCTCATTGGTAACAAAAAAAAAAGAACAAAAGTCGCAAGTTCTAATTGGACAAATCCATTTATTATTCATTGCACGTTGTTGCAATGCAGAGGGTAAAGCAGAGGTCAATCGATCTCAATATGCGAGGTCATCTAGTTTTACACTGACCCTTTAATTCCTATTGGCTTATTTTGTGTTGCCGCATCGCTTGCGACTTTTGTTCTTTCCCACTTCTTCTCTTTCTTTGCTTCATTTACTTATTATTAAATCATTCATTTTTAGGCAAAATTTAGTGAAGAATTGTTTCATTCAAATTTTAATCATTCGACATTAAAATGATATTTCATTATATTTTAGTGGAAAATTCCATAAGCGGTGTGTTGGTGGTGAAAGTGTCGGTCACATTAATCACTGGTGTACTTCGAGTTCGGATTCGACCGGTAAAGACCGCACGAGGATTTCTGTTAGTAGATTCCGGAAGTGAAAGTGAAAGCACTAGAGGAATTAAAGAAAGTGATAGTATGGAATCGGAAATTGAGGAAGAAAATGTGGATGAATCTTCGGGTTCAATAAGACCATGTTATCCGAATATTAGCAATTTGGAAGTAATTAGTATAATTACGGAACTTATGAATTACAAATATAGGTAGGTTTTTATTTCCAAGTTTTTTGTTGCAGTTATTGGCAGAAAGCGATTTATTCATTGCATCACAAATGATCACTCTTTCATTTTTAAAACTTTCAATTTTAAATATCTTTGTGAAGCATTTTTTCTTGGAAACATATTAAACGCCTTCTTAATCTTCATTTATTATTCTCTTTATTGAGTTAATTTTTTGAAATAATTCAATATTATTTATATTTACATACTACTTAATTTATTTCTTCAAACAATTTATATTTCAAGAATTTTTTTAGGAAAAACTATAGAATCATATTCGAAAATGTTAAGGATATGAAACAATATCTTGGCATCAAATTGCTTAACAATCGTTATTATTTTCTGCCTAATAATATTTTTGATATCGGAACTTATCTTGATAATTCCTCACAGGCGGAGATAATATTTGTAAAAGTAATCTTTTTCTCATACTTTTTCACTCCTTAATTTGAAAATTATCATCATTCTATGAACTCATGAATTCTCTATTTGAAAGAGCGGAAACTATTAATTATTAATTGTTGCTTCCAATTTTTAATTGCTGTGAAAGAGCTAAGATTGAGAAGGTGTCTGTTGCATCTTCTCTTCACATATAGTCTCCAATAATCTCTACAAAAGCAATTCTTCTTGCTATAATTTTAATTTCCTATAAATTTCTTTTCGAGGAATTGTATGAAAATATTGTTCGTGCAGTTCTTCTGTACAGTCGCACAAAAGGTTTCCTGTTGCTTCGATGTATAATTGACAATCCTCCTTTTGAAACAGCTGTATATGAGGTATGTCTGTTATGTATTCATTTTTATCAGTTTTTTTTTCTATAAATTTTTACATTTAATTTTTAACTGTACTATTTTTAATTTTCAGGAAAGTGATGTTGCCCGTGAAATGAATTTCTTAAAATCACTTTATGATGAAGCAGGAAAATCTGTATGTTTAAAAAGACAAAGAAGTCGGAAAGAATTTATCTCCTGCAGTTTTCTTTTCGATATCGTTAAACTCATCAAGAAAAATGAAATACGTAAACTTCTTGAGGTCAGCTATTGAATAAATTTTCTATGCTTTGCAGAGGAATCATTGTCCACTTGTTGTCTTTTTAATCATTTAGCGATTGATTCGCTAGAATATTTTATGGTTTATGCTTATTTATGCTAAATGATATTGAGGATGGTCTTTTGACATTTATGATTTTCATAATTCATAACATCGATACAATCATTATTTCTTGTTTTCAATATTTCAGAAGGGAGTTATTAAAACAAAAGGATCATACAGTTTTTACCTTCCCAACCTGTTCGCGATTGATGCAGATGATGTTGAGCAGTTGTATGAAACGGTATGTTTAATTATTGCTATAATTTATAAAATTTACATTTAACCTGTAATTATACTATTTTCAATTTTCAGAAAGTCGAAACTAAAAATAGTATATTTAAAAATTAAAGAGAAATAAATAGGGTTTTTTTCAGATCTAAATGTTGTAGAAATTTTTTTTTGAAAATTTTTTATAGAAATTTTAACTTAGCAATTTTAAAAAAAATAAAAACCAGAAATTTTATATATTTTTTCTTACAGGACTTAGCAATTGTTACACATCTCGATTTGTTGACTCAATATCGCTTCTTCAAATCATCGTTACACACAGCTCAACGGTTGGTTTTTTTATGTGACAGAAATGAATCCATAATTTAGCATAGAAATAAAATGAATAAAAAAATTTTCAGAACATTGGAAACAAAACCGTTGGTTGTAACATATGCTAATATCCGAATACAAATACAATTTTTCAAGGTATTTTTTAAAATAGCTTTAAAATACTTCTTCATCGCTCGCATAAAATATTCATGATGAATATTAATTAACATTCATTACAATGTTTTAGCTTCTCATTCGACATATCAAAGCACTTAGTATGGAAGATCTCGACAACTTCACCGATTTGAAGTTAAGTTCGGAGGAAAATCGAAAGGATGATTGTTGCTATAATACACTTCAGGCTCAAGAAATGATCAGAAGTGAATTTAGTACATGGAAGGGTCCTGGAAAAGTTTGTACACACTTCGATTTTTGTTATATAAATAATTTTAGATATTTGATCTGCGAGATTATTGTTTAAAATTTTCAAAGTTTCTAAATAATTTTTTCTACGTTTATGTTATTAATTATTGAGAAGAATATAAATTACTAATAAATTCGCATAGTCAAGGCATATTACCGTGCGCAATAAAGTAATTTTCTGTGGACGAATGAAAATTTTTTTCCAAATGAAATTTGTAATTTTCAGCTTGCCCAAAGATTCTGTAGTCAGTTGATTTTTTATTGTGAAAGTGACTGGTTCTGGAGTGAAATCGTGAGAATTATAAATATTGGCAAATTGTCAACGACGTTAATAAAGGCAAAGTTTATGACCTCTCTGAAAAAAATATCTAAAGATATGATAAGCCTCATTTTTTAAAGTAATGAAGAAAATTCCATAAAAGGAGCTATTTTTGAAATTGATAGAATCAAAAGTTATAACTTTTGAATTGTTTAAATTAACCGCTCGCATAGCCATCATCTTCACTGAATAAAAACTTAAAATTGACATTTAAATAATTAACAATTAGTTTTGATACGAAATGAATGAATGCTACGAATAATTTAATATTATCTTTTCAATTAAATCTTTTAATTGCTTTCAGGCTTTCCGCTTCCTTCCAATACTAACCGAATATTTGCTAGGACGGAGACAACCAAAAAATAAAACTTCATTAAATTTATATAATTTTATAAAGGAATTTCTGATGGTCATTCCACATAGGGAGTTCATAGGTCATCAGTATGGTTTTTTCATTGCCCGTAAGATTTCACTATGTTTTCAATAATATTCGTTTACTCAGCAATTCAAAATCGTACAGATAATAATAGTATCATAAGATAAATGAAAAAAAAAATCATTAGTATAACGAAAGTTTATTTTTTGGCTTTGTATATCAAGTGATCAAGAATTTTTTAAGACTTCGTTAATGTTATTCATTTCTTAAAATCATCGTTTGATGTTGAAAAGTTTTGAAAAACATTTATTACTCTCATATGAAAGATAATAGAAAAAAATATTATTTTTTAATCATTGATATCTGAAACAAACAGAACTGCTAATAGCTAACGTTGAGTTTCATCAAGATTTGTAAATTACACGTAATTCTATTTATCACTTCTGATTGTTATTACATAATTAATGGAATACATTTTATAGAACTTTGTATGAATCACGAATCGCATAGCAGTATTCTAAATCCGGCAACTGTTATCAATAGAATACTAATACCAAATTTAAAGAGACCAATACGTAAGGTAAGTTAAAAATATCGTATAAATTGATATAATAATTAAAGTTGCTTTCGCATTACTATTAAAATATTTAAGATCTGCGCTGCAGTTACACTCGGGAATTTACTGCAATCTCGTCGTGTCAACATAGCATGGTCATTTGATTATACCGCCGAGAACAAAAAGTATTACTATGATGACAATATAACAAGTGAAACGGATGAAAGTTAGTTTTCAATGTATTATTTATAACGGTCAAACGGTACAAAAAATGCTCA